GCTGCTAGCTTGCTGCTGCCTACTGCTATGCTACTGCTACTGCTACTGCTACTGCTGCTGGGCTGACTGCAATGCTACTGCTTACTAGCTACTTGACCTGACTGCTACTTGGTATGCTACGCTACTACTGACTTCCCTAGCTACTGCTACTGCCTGCTGGCTGCTGCAGCTACTAGCTGCTACTGCTACTACTGCTGCTGCTACTGCTGCTGCTGCTATCTGCTGGTGCCTGCTGCTGCGCTGCCTACTGCACTGCTACTGCTACTAATGCTACTACATACTCACTCTACTACTGTATGCTACTGCTGGCTGCTCGCTATACTGCTACTGCTGCTAGCTACTGGCTAGCTGCTGCAACTTTCTGCTGGCTGCTAACAATTCACCCCATGCTGCTATTGCTGCTGCTACATTTCATCCTGCTGCTATTACTGATCGTTGCTGCACAGTTTAATGGCTGCTAAATGCAGCTAGCATGGAGATACGCGCGGCAGGCGTTCGTTCTCGGCGCTTCCCCGGCGGCGAACTATCGGTCTCAGTGCTCTGCGCTCAGCAGCAGGCACGCAACATCGCAGGCAGCAGGCCGCAGCCAAGCAGCGAGCCGCAGAGTGCGTGTGCGGCGTGGCGGCAGATGCACGGACGCGGGGCCGACACGCAGCGCAGTTACGGAAGCAGCGCGCGGCCGAGGCGAAAGAGAAGCCGAGAGCGAGAGAAAGCGAGGCAGAGAAAGAAAGAGGAGAAGAGAAAGGAGGGAAGAGACAAGCAGAGAGACGGAAGAGAGAGACAGAGATGTAGAAGAGAGAGGAGAGAGAGAGACGAGAGGAGAGAGGAGAGAGAGAGATGAGAGAGAGAGACAGGAGAGAAGGGTCGAGAGAGGAAGAGAGAGCTAAAGAGAACAGAAGAGGAGAGAGAGAGAGAGAGAGAGAGAGAGAGAGAAGTAGAAGAAGAGAGAGAGAGAGAGAGAGAGAGAGAGAGAGAGAGAGAGAGAGAGAGAGAGAGAGAGAGAGAGAGAGAGAGAATACGGCGGTTGCGATAGGTGCGGGTTTCGTTCGGTATTCTTCGGGTGACACTAGCGCTTTGCGGAGACGTCCGGTGATACGTGGCACTGTCGTCATCGTCGTCGTCGTTGTGGTTAATGGTGTCGTCGTCGTAATCGTCGTTGTCATCTTCGACGTCGTCGTGGTTACTGTGCTTAGAGGAAGCTGCGGAAGCCAGGAGTGGTCGCAGGAGGCAGGAGGGCGTTTGCTCTGTCTCTCGCCGGGGCACTCTCGCTTAACGTCGACATTTCATCCGAAATTTTCATCCAGACCCGGTTTGTACGCATACACATATATACGTTATAAACATATTCGCGTGTTTTTTTTCCCGCAGACGCATCGCACGCGTGCATAGCGCTTTGTGCGAATGTATTGGCAGAGAGATCTGCGTTGGAATTGCGTTTACGTACCGGCTTCGAGTTTTCCTTCGTCCCCCCTCCCCGCGCACCCTTTACTGCGTTTTCCCACTTTTGCTTTCTCGCGTGCGCAGTTCCACTCATATCAGGGAAATTTCCATCGCAAAAGCCGGTTCAGCGACGAAATTCAAATCACAGTTTAATTCGTAGCGGTGTCACTCGCGGCTCCGTGTATCAAAGCCGTGGCCGCGTCGAATCTTTGATCGGGCAGCGCGCGCTTACGGCTGAATCTCTAGCGAGGAAGCTAGGATCGGATAGATAGATATCGGCGCGCGCTTCGTCCAATCTACGGAGCGATCTCGTTAATTGTATTTCCGCTGCGTAATTGTTGTTGGATTGTATGAATTACGCGTCGCTTCCGTTGTCATAACAACGTTTGCTATTCGGGAGTCTCTCAGCGGTGTTTAAATTGCAAACGTAATCGTGTGAGGGAGGAAGGCAGCGAGTGCTTTTGTGGGTGCGTTGGTGGTTATTGGTTTTTGTTGCGGCGGTGGTGGTGGTATTAGAGTTAGTAGTAGTGTTTATGGTGGTGGTTGTGGTGGCGTGTTAATCATAGAAGGGAGAGGGGGGGAGGGTGATGCGCGAGAGAGCGAGGAGGAGAGGGAGACAGATAAACAGGCAGTGAGGTAAATAGATGGATAGATAGATAGATAGATAGATAGATAGATAGATAAGATAGATGATGATAGATAGATAGATTTGCATAGATAGATAGATAGATAGATAGCATAGATAGATAATAGATAGTAGATAGATAGATAGATAGATAGATAGATAGATAGATAGAGAGATAGAATAAATAGATATATATATATAGATAGCATAGATAGATAGTAGGTAGATTAGATAGATAGATAGAAGATAGATGATAGATAGATAAATAGATAGTAAGATAGATGCATAGATTTAGATAGTAGATAGATGAGATAGTAGTAGAATAGATTAGATAGATAATAGATAGATAGATAGATAGAGGGAGATAGATTGATAGATAGGTATATATATATATATATATATAAATATATATATACTATATATGATAGTAGATAGATAGATAGAGGAGATAGATAGTAGACAGATAGTGATAGATAGATAGTAGATAGTAGATTAGATAGATAGATAGTAAATGGATAAACTAGAATTGATAGATGTAGGATAGTAGATAGATAGATAGATGGATAGATAGATAGATAGATAGACTAGATAGATAGGATAAGATAGATAGATAGATAGATAGATAGATAGATAGATAGATAGATGAGATAGATAGTTAGAGTAGAAAGAATTTAGATAGATAGATAGATAGATACGATAGATAGATAAGATAGATAGATAGCATAGATAGATAGATAGATAGATGAAGTAGATAGCATGTTAGATAGAAAGATGGATAGCTTAGAGGGAGAGGAGGGAACGAGGTGACAGCAAGCTAAAGGGCCGACGTAGGCGTCTGCCGCGCGCACTCGCGGCTCTGCTGCGCGCGAGAGAGGAGAGGAGAGAGAGGGAGGCGCGCAGTAGGTACTATAGTAATGGTAAATGTGCCATTAGACCTTTTGCATTACGGGTCATCCATTGTATTAGTGCAATGTCACATCATGCTGGCACCGCGCTATATATCCAATGCAGATTTCACAGACTCAATTTAATGTATAATATATATATATATATATATATATATATATACATACATACATCCATAGGAATGAATGAAACACTCTTGATATTGCGATAGCTTGCTGACACACGCACGCACGCACGCACGCACGTACGCACGCATGCACGCGCAAACACACGCACCCACGCACGCACGCGCGCACGCACGCACGCACACATGCACGCGTACACACACGCGCACGCACGCACGCACGCACGCATGCACGCGCACACACACGCACGCATGCACGCGCACACACACGCACGCACGCATGCACGCGCGCACGCATGCAGCTGCGGCGGCGGCGGCGGCGGCGGCAGCGCGTCATTTGAATTGATTTACGACGGAAGAGTCGGTCAGTAGCACAGAACCGACGGCAGCGACTTCCTGCTTATTTAACACCGCCTGCCTGCTGGCTGGCTGTCTGACTGTCTGGCGGACACATCTCGCTAGCCTGTCTGCCTGCCTGCTGGCTGGTCGACACATCTCGCTAGCATGCCTGCCAGGATCGCAGGTCGAGTGTCAAGGGATTTAAGCTGCATTAGCTGGAACATAGGAGGCAGCGCGCGGCGGCGGCGGCGGCGGCGGCGGCGGCGGGGGGGGGGTAGGTGTTCCTATACAGACAGGGGTACGGTGGTCGGTAAATGTACGTGAAAGTCGATAACGGATAATATGTATATATATCTCTTACATAAAGGGCGAGTCTGTTTTTGTGTCTGTCTGTCTGTCTATCTCCCCCCCCCCCGTAAGAGGTCACCCCCAACACCATATATATTCTTAATCAGCATGTCGCCACGACGATTTTAGACCAAAAAAATCAAAACAATACAAAAAATAAAGAAATGTCAAATTACAATTAAAATTATTTATTATTTTAATAAATGTCTGCGCGGTGGCGCTATATACCCTCCTACTGCATCGAGTGCGAATTTTCGCGGTGTTGTTCGCATTTTTACCGGTATTTTTGTAGCTGTATTGTCGAATTACAGCGACAATAAACAAATTATTAGCTTCGAAGGAGATACGAAAGCGTCGTAGACGACTACCATATAGGTATAAATGCTGAAATTGCTGCTTATTTTCGTATTTTCGAGTGTTTCTTATTCATCTCCTACAATAAATCGCCGGATCTATCTGTCTGTCTGTCTTCTCGAGACCAGTAAGAGGTGACCCATGAGGTATATTCTCAATCAGCATGACGCGACGACCATTTTAGGCCAAAAACAATTTGCACAAAAAGGCCAAAATAAGAGGAAAAAAACAAACAACAGATTTCCCCCAAAAAAATACTAGCGCAGCAAAAAAGTTAACAGCAATCCTAGCACTCGACTATACACTGCAGCAAAAAAGTCAAGACGAATCTTAGCGCAGCAGAAAAGTAAACAGCAATCCTAGCGCTCAACTATAGTCAGGCTCAAAATCAGGCAATCGCATAAAATGCCGAAACGGAAGCGATCGTCTTTCGGCAGTTCAACTGCAAGGTCAAAGAAACTGGCCCATCAAACAGCACGCTCTGCAGAGAATGCCGAACAGCGCGAACTCTGCCAAACAAGTGATGCCGCAACCCACCAGAGGTCACGCGCACAGGAGAGTGCACAACGGCGAGAACTCCGTCAAAGAAGTGATGCCGCAACCCACCAGAGGTCACGTGCAGAGGCAATGAGGGCCAGGCAACATACTGACGACAACATTTCATGGCTCAACGCAGCGTTCTCCTACGACCTCAACAAAGACTACACCTCCAACCCAAAGGTCTTCATTGGCAGGATGGATAACATCTGCAGACACTGCTCTGCCAAGAAGTGGCCAGGGGAAGCTCCAGGCATGTGCTGCACAGAAGGCAAAGTAAAGCTGGAGGCCCTCTAAATGCCACCACAGATCCTCAGGTAGCTGCTCTCACAAGACAGCCCACGTGCCAAGCACTTCAGAAACAACATCTGGAAGTACAACGCGGCACTCCTTGGTTCTCTGAAGATGGCAACACCAAGAATGTTGTGTACCAAGAAGCGCTGCAGAACTGCACACAAGTGAAATTTTTGGGACAGATTTATAAAATCAGAATAAGGTCAGTAGGCCCCTACAGCCGTCATGGCAGACTAAATTCTAGCTCTTTTTTCCTTTATCCCGGGCATCGCCGTGTAGCCCAGCTAGTATATATATATATGAGCAAATAAAAACCGAGGGTAAATTATTGGATGCGCTGAAGAACATCCGTCGCAGACAGTCTTTGGTTTCAAATAACGCGCGCGAGGCTCTTATATAAATCATACAATGGTGGACATTTTCGAAAAACCGTGTCGTGCATTTCTATCTATATCTGCGGATTGTGAGTGTTTGTGGAAAAAGCGATTGCGTACGGTGCTAGGGGAATGCTTGCTGTAAATTCTCAGCTGAGGTTTGTTGAATTAAAAGTTATAAATTCTAGGTAGCGTCAGCGAGCGTTGGATTTTCAATAGTACTAGCGGGATACCCGGCGTTACCCGGGGAAATCAGTGGCGTTACTCAGTTGGTGACCGCTTGGTTGAAAGGAAAATACCTAAAAAAATCCAACTATCTATCTATCCATGCATGAATCCATCCATCGCATTCCATGCCATCCCATCACATCCCATCGCACCGCATCCCATCCCATATCCCATTCCATCCCATCTCATCGCATCCCATGCCATCCAATGACATCCGATGCCATGCCATGCCATGCCATCCCATCCCATCCCATCACACCGCATCCCATCCCATATCCCATCCCATCCCATCTCATCGCATCCCATGCCATCCAATGACATCCGATGCCATGCCATGCCATCCCATCCCATCCCATTCTATAACACCGCATCCCATCCCATGCTATGCCATGCCATGCCATGCCATGCCATCCCATCCCATGTCATGCCATCGCATGCCATCCTATCCCATGCCATCCCATCCCATCCCATTCTATCACACCGCATCCCATCCCATGCTATGCCATGCCATGCCATGCCATGCCATCCCATCCCATGTCATGCCATCGCATGCCATCCTATCCCATGCCATCCCATCCCATCCCATTCTATCACACCGCATCCCATCCCATGCTATGCCATGCCATGCCATGCCATGCCATCCCATCCCATGTCATGCCATCGCATGCCATCCTATCCCATGCCATCCCATCCCAAACAAACAATAAAAAATAATAA